TTGATTATTGCTATGCATGTATATAGAAAATATATATATTTTTAAATAATCCAAAAATAGTGAAACTTGCACAATACTATTGTCGTGATGAAAAATTTTAAGATTTTAAATGTTCACATTCATTTTAATTACTGTTTTGTTACTTAGTTATTCTTGCTGCTGTTTGTGATAATTTTTATGAAAGCTTTCTGGTCCTTTGTTTGTTTTGCAAAATATCTAACATTCCACGAACATCATTTTGAAAAATGGAATTATCAATTGGCGTTAAACGGATTTAATCCCATTAGGTAATTTTCACACCTTGACCACGACAAGGATTTATGAGTGATTTTTATAACAATGTTGTTAATCTGATATGTTGATTTAATTGTCCATCTATAGAATGTCACCCTTTTATCTTATCTCTGTGTGACACTTAATTTCTTCTTTGTGTTTAATTTGTTTTACTCAAACTTGTTATTTGTTAGTCAGTTGGAGACGGACAGCCGTGCCGTCAAGACCAAACTGTAGTCGGAAAGACATACGTAATAAATCTCGAAAATATCCAAAGTTGTTTTGAACATCTTTATTCCTTTCTATAGTAAAAAGGTTTCCCCTTATCAAACGCATTTGAAGCATTGGGATAAGAAGCGCCATAGGCCGAGTTGGAAATACGTCACTATTGTCGTGTACTCATTATATGAATTTCTAATTCAATAATTAGTAAACGACACTATCTAAATATCGATTTTCGTGTAAAACCTATTTATTATATGAATATTAATTGAAATAGGTACTCTACTTAACTGATAAATCGTTACGAGGGGGAAACACAATGTTTCCTGAAATTAAAAACTTTTATTGCAGGTCTCATTAAATTATTCATGAAAAATTGTCCAATATGTGGGTATTTTATATAATAAAAAGCTATCTTCCTATAATTCCCACAACGTGATTGAAACATCATTAATAACTAATTTAAGTATTTTGGGTAGTCAAACACATATGCCATTTGTTTTAAGATCAATAGTCTTCTGTCAATTTCCTTTGATAAACATTGTATTCTTAATTCAATTTCCCTGTTTATTCAATCAGCCAAAATATTTTACAGGCTCAGTCATAATTTTTTAAATGGGGATTTTCAAAAAGTCCAAAGAACTGCTTAGAAATTTGAAAAAAAGTCAGCAACATCAAAATGTATGACTTTTAACATACTTTATACAACCATTCATCCTGATAAATTAAAGGCTAGGCTTCTTTAATAAATATTGAACTTGGAAATTTTCATATCTTGAGATTGGTCATCCACAGAATAACTTTGTAAAAAAAAAACCGATTCTACATATAAGTACTCTAAGTTTGATATTAATGGAAGCTGGAGTTCCTCACTGACAACATCTACTAGTATGTAATCTTTTGAGACCACGTCATCCAACAATCTGTTGGAGTTCCATTGGCCACTGATTCTGATCTTTTATAAGCCGACCTGATTTTATATTCCAATGAAGCAGAATTTATTAAAACAAACTTCAACATGAGAAGAAAACATGGCCTTCTGGCTTTCAAAATTTCGACGACTTTTTATCAATTAACATTAGCTGCTTCCAATTATAAGTCGATTTGATATATTCCAGTGAACTCGAAATAAAAGACATTACAGAGTATGACACATCTGTGTAATATCTGGCTGTTTATTGACTATAGACGATAAGGATCAACTACCGACAAAACTGTATGACAACAAGATGACTTCATCTTTTCCATCGTAAATTTTCCTTATTTATGTAGAATATACCGCTAACACCTGCATATGGCGTTTATGTCTCCCAACTTATTCAATACATAAGAGCATGCTTTGAATACGATCAATTTTAAAACCGAGGCAGGCTACTAACAAATAAGTTGATGTTAATTTCAAAAGCCTCGTTTTAAGTCAGCATTTTGTAAATTCGATGGTCGTTACAAGACCTTGTTATCAAATCATAACTATTATTGGGTCGTATTATGACTGATATATTTCATAACGATTGTTAAGCCTTTTATACTTAATTTGTATCCGGACAACTCCGTCTACCCGATCAGTACATAGGGATCATGGCTGGTGTGACTGGTCGACATGAAATGCTTACTCCTCCTAGACACCTGATCCCACATAGGGAATTTCCAGGGATCCGTCTTTTGTCAATGCCCTTTTCACAGGTTTGTATTCTTTGTATGTTTTATTTTCTTTGTGAGATAGATCACTGTTTGTTATCTACAGCTATTTTATTAATTTTGTTAAAATTTGGGAAATCAAAAAACAAGAAAAAACTTCGAAACGGCTTCAAAACTGTGCAAATATTTTTTTTCTAAACTTTATTGGGCTGGAAAGGTCCACAAATTGAGTTTGAAATAGAACCTGTGTTCTTAGTTTTTCAACTTACAATCCCCAAACACAACTTAACCTGGTATAATTCCATCGTTTTACGCTGCAATGAATGGACAAATATATAATAATTTTCATTTCAAGAAAAGAAATGTTGTCTAAAAGCTATATCTAAAACACTTGGCCCACATTCCAAGGGTCCTTTTATAATCCTGATAACCTTTCTTATTGTTTACAAGAAGCGTGAGATTGGTCACAGTTCACGAATATATATATATATATATATATATATATATATATATATATATATATATATATATATATATATATATATATATATATATATATATATATATTAACCATAGTTCGACTTTTAATTGTTTTCTATGAATACCCGATTAAATAGTATAAGTGTTGAGCACTAGTAAGATGAAAAAAACAAACGGACCCCCGAGGCTACATCATTCATGAAAATCTAGCAATCAAGGGTAGCAGAGTAAGGCAATGATCCTTGTATATTTTCTCTAAATTTGCTCAGGGACTGCTCTTTGAGTTTTTTACAAATCAAACCGAAAAACAAAGCGGACACTGAGTTTGCTCTCTGGAACTGCTTTGTTCATACGAGTAGGACAGGTGATACCATCAGGTTTTGTTTAGAACACCCACCCCTTGGATACCAAACTTCCACCAGTGTGTCATTTCCATCTGTGTCAGAGAGGCAAACTTAAGATTCGAATCTATCATTCATATTTAAAAGAAAATTTTCCAGTTAACACGTGTATAATCAGGGATGTATTCAAATATACATTTTAAATACAGAATTGATTTATTGAATTCTGATAAATATAAACACCAAAAATCGTTCCTTTTCAATAATTTACTGATATAATTTTGTTTTAAAAACTTCTAAAGCTAAACGAGTAGAAAAATCAACGAAAAAATAATGTAGTTTATGTAATGCAAAGGATACATTCATACATGCTACTATTTATAACAAGAAAACAAAGTCTCAAAACTAAAACTCACTTTACGTACCTGCCATTTCTTTGGAGTCAATCAAAAATATGTCAAAGAAAATTTAGGCTGAATTACCCATGTTAAACGTTCCTGTTACCCTTTCGTAGTTCTTTCCATTCCTACCAATGCTGTCGATGTGCTGAAGTCTGGTTGATACTGTGTCTGTCGAGATATCCTCGCTATTGTGGAGATATTGATAAATAAAAAAAAAGAGTATTGCATAATCTATTAAATAGAACCATTGGGAACACTTTTATCAGTGAAATGAATATTGTATAAAGCTCTTCACTTCAACTACAGTAAGGTAGAGGTTGTGAAGTTGACCATATGATTGACAGGTTGATTGATTGATACCTTTTTATTGATGTATAATTTGCACATACGTGTTGTTCATCATTCCTATATTCATAACTGTATCACTGTGCAAATACTTTATATATATATATATATATATATATATATATATATATATATATATATATATATATATATATATATATATATATATATATATATATATATATATATGTGTGTGTGTGTGTGTGTGTGTGTGAGGGTGTGTGTGTGTGTGTGTGAGGGTGTCTGTGAGTGTGTGTGTGTGTGTGTGTGAGGGTGTGTGTGTGTGTGTCTCATATTTAAAAAAAAATATAAAAAGATTTACATCACAATGAAAAATTTATTTAGAAAAATGCTACTTAAAGTCCATTTACAACTATATTTTCTGAAAGATTCACATTGTTAAATATGTATTCCTGTTAAAGTGAATAATAAGTAGATAGGTGGACGTAAACATAGTCCCAGTCATTCTAATTCTTAAGTAGAAAAGAAGAAAAATACACAAAAGTCTACAGATTTACGAAGAGGTTTTCTTCTTTCATTCATGATTGAATCTCTTTTTCCCCAATTTTCCGAATATATTCTTTTTTTTATATGAAAAAGAGAATCTTGCTTTGAAACATATGTATTTCTTAGTAAATGTATTTATTGGTTTTTTGTTTGTTTTAATTTGTTTCTTTTTCTGGTGGGGGTGTTACTGCAGCATGTTTAAATGATAATGTATGTAAAAGAAATACATTACAAACAACGTAGTCCCTGTTGCAAGGTGCGGACGAATGGTTAAATTTACCGTAATCCACAGACTGACAGAGTAGTCTGTGAACGGCCACAATCTATCACAGGGTCCATATATAATGTACATTCTTATTTTCCCCCCATCATCTTACCTAATTATGATCCTATTTCAATGTTCCGGTTATAGACATTGAATTGATTGGTTATTAGAAATGAACAAGATATTTTTAGCAGTTTTATCCACTACTATTTTTGTAGCTGAGATTAAAGAGATTAAAGGTCCATTTTATATCTTTCCGCCTCAAACACTATATACACATATGCTTATCACATCCTTTATATAAACATTCGATCCTTGTTGTTATAAATTAAAAATCTATAAGACAACTGTTACTTTAGATTTATTGCTTGTTAAGAAAGTACTTCATATGACGAAAAATGTTTATAATTTTCAGTATATCATATTTGGCGAAAATTAAGATTAAACAACCTGAAATAATGCAAGATCACATGTAATATGTTTCCACAGAACACAAAGAAGTTCAGGAGAACATAAAATAACCGGATATCATGGTCTGGTCTCCGACAGCTCTTGAATCCTGTATAACAGTGACGATGTCGTTCGCGTGCAGGCGTAAAATGACGAGATTGGAACCGCAATCCTAGCCTGCATTTCGTCCATCAGAGATCGTTTGTCCGACAGTTCCATTATTAACTTGCAGCCAGGACTTAAGGTGTCTATCACCAGCTTCCATATTCCAGAAGAATAAATAAACACCATCTTTGTTAGCTTGAAATCTATTGTAGAAGAACAAGCTGGATGTATCCAGATACTCTGTGCTGAAGTAGAGGGGAGAGGTGGATGAGGAGAAATGGGCCATCGCCATAAAAGCTGAGCAGGAACTCGCTAATCAGAATTACAATATAATAATATATTGATTATCATTTGTGAAAGACTACTCCCCCCCCCCCCCTCTCTCAAATGAAATATGACTCTCAAAATATGATACTTGTCTTCTCATGTTATAGAGGTATAAATGTCAAAATGTCTTATTTACTCGGGAATATTAACGACTATTCAATTAAGTAGATTGACATAATCAAGTTAAGGAGACTGTCCATCCGCCATTTTTTGAGAAATTTAACTCTTTTTTAAATTTTGAATTCCGCAACCAAGAATGGATGTTTCGTGCCAGAACTTAAAAAAAATACATCTACATATTTAGTTGTTTATATTGCATGACCATCTTTCAATGTAAAAAGTCGTATTTAAAGTAATTTGATTTAACCTTTTATCAGTGTTGAGGTTACTATTAAAGTAAACAACTCTAGCAAATAAACACTTAATAGGTGAGGTTATTCAATTAAGACTCAGTAAGAGAAATGTACATGCAGAACGAATGGTGTTAACCATAAGACATCAAATAAATCTGAGTTAGTTAATAAAGCTCAAATTGACATTAGAACAACAAAAATTCAAATGACATTTACTTTACTTGCCGTCAAAATTTGAGTATATTTTTTATGTTTGACAAAGGTTTGCTGATTTAGAGAAAAATACAAAAATGAAATATGAAGATAACGATTAGTATTCAATCTCGAAAGTCCAGTAAAACGATACAAATTTGGAGCAGAGCAAACACGGACCTCAAAATTTAGAGGTGGGATCAAATGCCATGGAGGAGTGAGCATCCCCTGCCGACCGATCACACCCGCGTTGTGCTCCCTGTCCTGATCGGAAAAAAACCCCCGGAAAAATCCGTAAACAGTTCAGAATATAAATAATGGACTGACAATTAGTATGATAAACGTCAGTCAGCATTTGACTCAATGAAAGGCTGTACGGCTGACAAGGTCATTGTGTCGACCATAAAACTTGTAAAATGATGACTTCAAATGAGACTGTTGATATCCTTGTTTCATCAACTTTTTTGTCATTAGCTTGTCTCGTTCTAGAAATTGTTCATACTTATAGCATGTTCTTGCGTATCGAGTCAACTGACAGACATAAACCCAATATGCAGGTGATAAGGGTATATTGCCACACAAGTAAGGGAAGTTCACGATTGAAAAGTTGAAGTCATCATGTTTATCATAAAGGTTTGTTGCTAGCTTACCATTAATGTCTTTTTCTAGTAAATTATCTAAACATGAAACAGATGTGTCAGACTCTGTGGTATCTATTATTTCAAGCTCACTGGGATATATCGAGTCGACATATGAATGGAAGTAACTACATGTATTGTTAATTGATAATACATTGTCGATGCAATTGAATGTCAAATTGAAGTGTTTTCTTCTTCTCATGTAGAAGTTTTTAAATAAATTCTGCTTTATGTGAATACAAAAATAGGTCTGCTAACAACGGGGCGCAATTGGTACCCTTAGAAAGGGAGCTATGGGTGTAAGTTGGATTTCCATCTGCAAAATAAATTTCTTAGCTCCTCTAAAATACAATTCAAATAATGAGTCTTACAAACAAAGACTATATTGTTACCAGCTTTGTCAGCTGGGACCAGTACATACTGATCGTGTAATCTATCTAATTCCTTTTTCAATTATGAATTAATAACAAGAGGCCCAAGGTCCTTAACGGTCACCTGAGTATAATACAACAATTTAGAAGTTAAATACACTGACAGATGAAGCTTTGTTGCCCTAAAGCAAGAGAAGTAGGAAGATCAGGATCAACAAAATAATTAGTCTAGTATTCAGTAACAACTCATAACTTAAGTTCTAATCTGTCCCCCACTTAATATTATCACCATGCAGTCTATTAACAAACTATAAGTGCTTCTGTACTTTTTTAAAACCCATATTAAGACCTCTAGCATTGACCTCTCTTATGGTCTTTGAAGAACTTTTAATAAGATAAGTTATTTTTGTCTCATTTTTATTTATCTATTACTTACAGGTCTACCTGATTATTAAAACCAAGAAAGTACTTTTTGAATTATACAATAAACATTTTTGCATAATTATCTTATTCTATTAACCTTTCAAAAACATTATTTACAGTGATTAATTATCAAAGATGAATGGAAAAGGGGAATAACTTCTCTCTGTAGAATACAAATTAATAGAGCCCTGCCCAGGACCAGAATGCTTAGACGAATTGTGCAGATGTTCAAAAATCTGGTAGAAATACGCTTACTTATATCATTTAAACTTTTACTCAGTTTGCTTTCGATATGCCCAGAAGCAGAGAAGAATTTCACAGGTACAATGCATTTTCACTACAGATTCAACAAAGCCTTACCCTAACACCAGAACCCAAGACCAAAGGTCAAGAAATTTACAAATTTGGAAGAGTTACCCTCATCATCATAACTATGGACTTCAAAGAATTAACACTTTTCCACTATCTTATCAAAAGCCCCCCCCCCCCCTTCCTCGTTATGCCAGAACCCCTGACCCTATTACCACAAGATTTAAAAATTCTGTTCGAAGCTCCCATCTTCATCATAGCTAAGCAATTTATTTATCAGCTCAACACTAGGGAGCATACAGGATTAGTTAATGATTAATTAATAGAATTAATGCATTTTCACTATATAATCAATACAGCCCCCCCCCCCTCCTCAAGAACCCCAAAAACTGAGGCCATGTATCTAAAAATTTTGGAAGAGGCATCCTTGCCTATCATAATCATGCACTTAGTTTGTTTAAATAATCTCCAGTAGCAAAGAAGAAGATTTTCATAGAATCAATGCATTTTCACTATATAATCAATAGAGCCCCGCCCTAACACCGGAACCCCTGACCCTGGGGCCATGAAATTCACAATTTTTAAAAAGACATCCTTATGCATCATAACCATGCACTTAGTTTGTTTAAATAATCTCCAGTAGCAGAGAAGAAGATTTTCATAGAATCAATGCATTTTCACTATATAATCAATAGAGCCCCACCCTAACACCAGAACCCCTGACCCTGGGGCCATAAATTTCACAATTTTGAAAAGGCATCCTTATGCATCATAACCATGCACTTAGTTTGTTTAAATAATACCCAGGAGCAGAGAAGAAGATTTTCAAAGAATCAATGCATTTTCACTATATAATCAATAGAGCCCTGCCCTAACACCAGAATCCCTGACCCTGGGGCCATGGCTTTCACAATTCTGAAAGTGGCCCACCTCCTCATCATAACTATGTACTTAGTTTATCACCTTAATGCCCAGGAGCAGAGAAGAAGATTTTCAAAGAATTAATGCATTTTCACTATATAATCGATAGAGCCCCGCCCTAACACCAGAACCCCTGACCCTGGGGCCATGAATTTCACATAACTATGTACTTAGTTACTTAATTTAATACCCAGGAGCAGAGAAGATTTTCAAAGAATTAATGCATTTTCTTTAGATAGTTGATAGAGCCCCGCCCTAACACCAGAACCCCTGACCCTGGGGCCATGACATTCACAATTTTGGAAGAGGCACTCTTGCTCATCATAACTATGTACTTAGTTACTTTACTTAATACCCAGGGGCAGAGAAGAAGATTTTCAAAGAAATAATGCTTTTTCACTATATAATCTATAGAGCCCCGCCCTAACACCAGAACCCCTGACCCTGGGGCCATGAATTTCACAATTTTGAAAGAGGCACTCTTCCTCATCATAACTATGTACTTAGTTACTTTATTTAATACCCAGGAGCAGAGAAGAAGATTTTCAAAGAATTAATGCATTTTCACTATATAATCAATAGAGCCCCGCCCTTACACCAGAACCCCTAACCCCGGGGCCATGAATTTCACAATTTTGGAAGAGGCACTCTTGCTCATCATAACTATGTACTAAGTTACCTTATTTAATACCCAGGAGCAGAGAATAAGATTTTCAAAGAAATAATGCACTTTCACTATATGATCTATATAGCCCCACCCTGGGGCCAGAACCCCTGACCCTGGGGCCATGAATTTCACAATTTTGGAAGAGGCACTCTTCCTCATCATAACTATGTACTTAGTTACTTTATTTAATACCCAGGAGCAGAGAAGAAGATTTTCAAAGAAATAATGCACTTTCACTATATGATCTATATAGCCCCGCCCTGGGGCCAGAACCCCTGACCCTGGGGCCATGAATTTCACAATTTTGAAAGAGGCACTCTTGCGCATCATAACTATGTACTTAGTTACTTTATTTAATACCCAGGAGCAGAGAAGAAGATTTTCAAAGAATTAATGCATTTTCACTATATAATCAATAGAGCCCCGCCCTTACACCAGAACCCTGACCCTGGGGCCATGAAATTCACAATTTTGGAAGAGACATTCTTGCTCTTCATAACTATGTACTTAATTACCTTATTTAATACCCAGGAGCAGAGAAGAAGATTTTCAAAGAAATAATGCACTTTCACTATATGATCTATATAGCCCCACCCTGGGGCCAGAACCCCTGACCCTGGGGCCATGAATTTCACAATTTTGGTAGAGGGCTCAATGCTTATTACAATGATGCCAACAGTTTGACTGCTTGATGTCCAGGAGTAAAGAAAAAGATTTTTAAAGATTGCATTATTTTTGGTGGTTTTAGCCCCACCCCTCAGGCCCCAGGGAGGCAGGGACCATGAAATTCATAATTTTTGTTCCCCTTCACCCATAAATGCTATATGCCAAATTTGGTTGAAATTGGTTAAGCGGTTTCAGAGAAGAAGCTAAAAATGTTCAAATGTTAACGCACGACGCACGACGCACGCCGACGGACGAGAACGGATAGCAATAGGTCACCTGAGTGACTCAGGTGACCTAAAAACAGAAGGATAAATTGTTTTCATACAGCCTTAACGCGAGATTTCAACATCCATCTGATGCTCTTTATATGAATATGAAGTCATGAAAGAAAAGAAGCGTTTAAATAGAAAGATCATATAACTTACATTTGATTAGATGAGCTAAATACTTACGTGACCCAATGCGCCATCCATAGGTTCTATAGTGCTATCAGAATCAGGTGGATAAAGATACACTCTGTCCCCGCGGGTCAGGTGGAAAAGTTGTAAGGTGGAAGAAGTGTCCTTGTAGGGCTTGAACTTCTTGTCATTACGGTAAAAGTAAACCATGAAATCCCGATGATGTGCCTCCAAGGACAAAGCAAAAGCATACAAGCCTGACTCTGGGCAGACAAACGTGCCGTGTTCGGAATTGTACACGTGGCCATTGTTGGAAATTACATCTTGGAATTTAAAGCCGTATGAAGGGGAGGTGGGTCTAGTCAATGAAGTCAAGGCTCTAGCATAGAAGTACGAATCATCTAAACTATAAATAATTGTCTACATCACTGCAGGGCAAAGTATTAAATAATAAATGCTTTTCAAAGATGTTCTCATATTTCATTTTAGAATTATCTTGGCCACATCTTTCCTATAGATGATTTTATTCTTTCATCACGATATATGTCACATTGAATTCAAACTATGGATATGAAATACAGAACAAAAGAATATCTTTTTCATTTATTTTATGAACATGGAAGCCTACTGTAATTAAGTAGCCAGCCAGAGAAAGTGGACAACATTGCGTCAGCGGTACCATTGACCTTGACTCTGACCTTGTCCCAAAACTGCAGGTCATGGGTTACAAACCCAACAAATCGCGTGCTTGAGTCGCCAGTAATGCTGCTTCCGCGAGAGTCTGTGAAGGAGGAACCGATTGCGATATCGTTAATTAGAAGATCTGCTCCTGTGTAGCGCTGATTACTTGTAGCTATGGTCCACGAAAAGACAAACGGCCCACTGTATTTACAAGTAAAGATCCCCGTGCTGCCACTGTAAGCTAAGCCTTTATTACTTGTAATGTTGTTAGATATAACGTAATCATTTTTTGTTGATGAGGTAAGATGTGCGTAGAATGCGTAATTGCCAGGTATTTCTGTCACATGAGCCGGTGCTAACCAAAGCAATGTAGAAAGACATATACACATCCATTTTTTATGTAAAAAGAATCTTTTGCTGTACATTGTCTTATTATAACCATCAACTATTGATTATATTTATGCATTTAAAAAAAGTATCTCGTTAGAATAGTATTAACAACATTTTATATTTTAAATAATGGTATATCCTTAAGAAATGTACCGCTAGTAGTTCCTATGTTGATGATTGTTCCGGACGTAAAGGTGGCGTTACAGTTGATATTACAGAGATCTCCTTTGCAACAACCTGAGCATGGTGCATAAGACCTATGGCCACTCAGAGATCGCTTCCTTCCAACAATACCTGCTGTCGATACGTGGTTTTCACATGCCTAGTAATTACATTATTAAATCACTAGAAGCTCAAACAGTTGATTTCACTTGTTTACAACAATAAATAAACAAATGCATAAAAACACTTTGTCTATATTAGTACTTATTTTTGCATCCCTTGTTTCTATTCCCCCACTCCTTCCTATTATCCACCAATTCCTCATTTGTAATTCTTTTTTACTCTTCTTCTCCTTTTCCCTTTTTTCTTATATTTTTTACCTTCCCTCCCTTTCCATCATATTGTATTTTCTTTCACTCTTCTTCCCTCCCTTTCCCTCACTTTTTCTTTCCTCATTTTCCCTCATTTCTTATTCCCTTTCAGTCTTCTCCCCTCATTTCCACTTATTTATGATTTTCTTTCACTGCCCCCCCCCCCCCGCTTCCTCTCATTTCTTATTCTCTTTTACCTTCACTATCCTTCATATTGCATTCTCTTTCACCCTTCCCCTCTCTTTCCCTTATTTCTTATTTTCTTTTTTTCTTCTATGTTCCATTTCCTACATTTCTTATTCTCTTTAACTCTTTTCCCCTCTTTCCTTAATTTCATTTTCAATCTTCTCCCCTTAATTCCACTCATTTCTTTTTCTCTTTATCCTTTCTCCCCTCAGTTTTCCTAATTTCTTATTCTCTTTTATTCTTATCACCCCACTTCCATTCATATTTCATTTTCTTTCAGACAATGTAGAACAAGACATTCTTGATACAGATGAGTTCAATTTATCGCTGGAGATGTCAGATTCAGGGACCAATTGTCAAAGATTCAGGAGCCTGTTGAACCAATATTCTGGTAACTCATACTACAAGATTTCCATCAGCAAGTTAAGCAGATAACAATGCAGATAATTTGTATGCAGCTAGTGAGGAATGAATGAGAAATGCGCTCGCTCCGTGATCGGAAGGCCATGAGTTCGAATCTCGCCCGCGACTGACCTAGGTCTATAAAAAAATAGGTAGCAACTGTTCCTTCGCCAGGCCCTCGCTTCTTTGAAGTGAAAGTTGCGGGTCCTTCTGATGAGACCTTAGGCGTTGGCACGATAAAGATCACTCACTGCTCAATTGCACTGAGTGCCGAGTAAAGGTCTAAATTTGAAACCCTTCACCGGTATATGGTGACGTCTCTATATGAGTGAAAAAATTCCCAAATGGGACGTAATACAACATATAATCAATCAATCTATCTATCTATCTATCTATCTATCTATCTATCTATCTATCTATCTATCTATCTATCTATCTATCCATCCATCCATCCATCCATCCATCCATCCATCCATCTATCTATCTATCTATCTATCTATCTATCTATCTATCTATCTATCTATCTATCTATCTCAAACTACCCAAGTTAGAATTACCAGCATTCACAGGAGACATATTAACGTGGAAAACAATTTGGGATTCATTCGAGTAATTGTGCATGAAAATCAAATGTTGACAAACATACAGAAGTTCAATTACTTGAAAACCAGCTTTAGGGAATAGCAGCTCATATTATTGCAGTACTGCAGTTAACAAGCAATGATTATTATCAAACAGTTGCTATCCTTCTATACAGACCTGGACAAAGTTATTAATGAGCACATACAAAGCCTGATTGATCTACCCAACCCATAGTCCAATCCGGAGACCTCAGAAATTTCTTTGATAAAACGGAATTCTGCATTAGAATGACTTAGAACCAATGCAACCACCAGTGGAACAATTTATACCGCCATGATCTACAGCAAACCACCAGTGGTTAGTCGAACTTACCAGACAAAAAGGAAATGATAACTGGGAACTAAATCACTAATGAAAGCCATTAAAAAGGAGCTGTGTGTTCAAGATGCTGTATAATTGAGCACATTTAACAACATTGTAAACGATTTCCATACTTAGTACTTACTTTGTCGTTTTGGAAAGCCAAAACAAGCTGAAAAACAATGTGAAACATTGTTTCCTCTGCAGTGAAAACCACCCACCCATAAATTGCCATTGAGTGAAAGATTATAAAACAAGAATATATTCTGAAACAAAAGAGAGGGTGTTTCAATTGTTTTGGAAAACGGAAAGTAAACGACTTTCCGTCACATTGTAAATACAGAAACAGAAACTGTAAGAGGGGTTTATCATACAAGCATTTGGACAACATCTGAAGAAGTCAACATATAAGTGTCACTAATTCTGATAGATCACAAAAAAGCGATCGTATCAAAAGGAGCAATCTTCACATATGCACTCTTCATCACATCTAACCTCCAGTACATGTACCGAAGTTGTAGAAACTGCTGTAAGAACAATTGGCATCAAAGAAGAGCAGCGTCAAATGAACAAGCGAGAATTACATGACCATATTTTGTATCAGGCTACAGTTCAAGAACAGCTCAGACAGGAAATGTTTCAGGAGATGAAGTCAGGGAAAAATAAAAGAGGAACACAGACAAAAAAAAAAGAAGGCTACATAGAAAATAGGCTTGTATACGTGATTTGATCACATGACCAACTTCTGCAAACCACGTCTACCTGGTGCCTTACATAAATCACGATGGCAACATTCCTGACACAATATTGATACATTAATTTTTCGTTTGTTAGTCTGGACGATTGTTCTGTAGGTGACTTTTATACAGTTCTGTATGTAAAGAAATATATCTCCCTCAACTGATTTGTCAATAGCTTTCATCTTTTTAGAAATTGTTCGTATGTAGAACATGCTCTTGCGTATCGAATTAACTGGGAGACATAACCGCCATATGAAAGTGATAATGGTATCATGCTGAATAAATGTTGGAAGTTGACAATAGAAAAGCTGAAATTATCACGTTTATCGTAAAGTTTGTTTGTTAGTTTACCATTATGTCTTTTTCTAATATAATATTCAAATGTGAAATACATGTGTCAGACTCCGTGGAGTGTCTTTTATTGCTTGTTCAAAAAGGTCGTCTATAATATCTAAATATCGAACTGAAGGCCACAGATGGAGACTTCTTCTTTTCATGTAGAAGTTTTTGAATAAATTCAGCTTCAAGTGAATACAAAAATAGGTCTGCTAATAACCGGGAGCAATTAGTAACTATGGGAATCCCAACAGATTGTTGGAAGACTTGATCTCAAAAACAACATAAATGTTGTCAATTAGAAAATCAAGCTTCTATTTAATATCAACTTTAGAGCACTTTTGTACAATCAAAATGTTTTTTTAATAAAATAATTCTGCAGATGATCAAAGAGAAGGTATGTAACTTTACGAGTTCCATTTTTATCAAAAAAGCAGCTGTTTATGATGTCAAAGGGCCTGGACTTTAATTTATTTTTGGGAATGATTGTATAAAATGTTGAAAATTCGTACTTTTTTTTTATACTATTGATGTTGGTAAAATTTTGTGATTTCAAATTATTTAAAAGTTTCTTGGAGTTTTAAAGTATCCTCATCAAATTAACACCAATTCTCGAATATGTTGTTGTACAGTACTCCTGAAGTTTCTCCTTCACTGCTGTTTATAATTTAGTGAGGGGTAAAGAAAGAGACTTGGTATATATGTGTATAGAAAAAAAAATCAAAAAAAAAATCCAAAGAACAGTGCCAATATACTTATGTGACTCAGGTGAGTCTTGTGGCCTATGGGTCTCCAAATCGTGTAATACTTCTAATCTAAAAAATACACACTGAGAGAGAGAGAGAGAGAGAGAGAGAGAGAGAGAGAATTACCGACTGTTGGACACAGCCAATCCAAAAAGATGTATATCCTCTCCTTCGTGTACCTCTGTACGGCACATATCTGTCAAAAACGCAGGTTATCATTAATTATTATACTAAATTAATATCATAGTGCAGAACATTTTACGTTTTCAATGTTATTTCAACGCTTACATGAAATAAACTAAGAATACATTCTAAGCATTATGTTTCCTAAATCCCTTTTCTGAAATGCAAATTGAAAAGAATTTCATGAAATAACAAAAAAAAAAAAAAAAAAAAAAAAAAAAAAAAAAAAAAAAAAAAACAGATTTCTATATTTGTGTTTCACAGAAAGAAATTATACATATAAATATATATACATATTTACATTTTTTTAAAATTTGGAATCAGTATTCTTTATATTTCGTAATCTGACTTTTTTCAAATATTCATTGTAAAAATCATTCTGATAATAATTATAATTCTTTTTTAGCAAATTGTATTAATTAAGATAATGAAAATAGATGATCTTACTTCACCATTCTTGCAGTACTCTATTCACTCACAGAAACGAGGCTCTAAGACGTCATTACAGCGTAAACATCTCAACCGAAAACCTTAAAAAAATTAAAATGCATTTCATCAATAAAAACCTTTCAATTACGATGACCAAACCAAAAATCTCACGGGTCTCATTACACAATAGTATAATCCTAACCCTTCATTAGCTGATAAAATGATAAGAAATATCGCATATGATATGTAATAACGTTCAAATCTACATACTTGGTAACAGTTTGACGATAATGCGGGGTTAATGATAAAATCGGATAGACAGGTTCAGTAAATGTAAAATGAGAAGTCTTCTTTATATCTACTAAAAACATAAAATAGAACGAAGGGACACCCGACAATTAGAAGTCTTTTGTACACCTACTAAAACATAAAATAGAACAAACGGACGAGCACGTACTTCGCAAAATATTACCTTCAGGATTATAGCAGGTCAGGAGATACAGTCCTAAAGAAGAAAAAATGAATGGTTTTTATAACAAATAAAGTACTGTATACATACTTTCTTCTTAATTTCTTTTTAGTCCGCGAGTAGAAAATTACGTGGATTTCTTCTACAGTATCAGAAAATCACAGCAGAATGAGAGAGAGAGATTAAAGAAAAGAAAGAACAAGAACGAGAGAGGTGCATATACTACATAGGAAGTTAGTGAAAAGGAACACTGTAATCCAATTGTTCTCAGAGTATCTACAATTAGTTCTTCAGTCATCAAAGTGCAATTTCAAAATCCTTATCTCTCAGAACTATTGTACCAGGTAATAATTACATCATGTGGTCATAGCAAAGAGTGTATACAGATACATATTATACAATCAAAAAAAATATTACGCAGTAGAAATAATTTAGATGATTGAAAAATCATTACATTGTGATATCACTCTGATTTGTCTAAGAATTAATTTTTTTCAACTTGACTTTAATGGTGTTGTTTAAAAAATTAACCAAGGTGTGGACTTCAACTTGAAACCTGGTGGAATACGAGACTGGACCACTCTGAAATTAAGAAAGTGACTAAAGCTTACAACGTCAATTGCTTTATTTTTAACTAAACGTCATGATAAAC